GGGGGGGGGGGCTTTTTTAAGTACCCGTGAAAGACCAAAGTTTTGTCGACAACGTTGCAGTGTAGACAAGCCCTAACTCTGTCTGCTGCTGGTCACTGAGGTTTATATGCATCATATAAGCAAGCCTTTGAAGATAGGCTGTATATCCTGTTTTTTATGACAAATGCACTCCCAGAAGTGGCATCTGGCTGGCTGATCAATGATGGCGGTAGTTGACACTAGACTTGCTTGACGGTTGCAACAAGAGAAGCTGGTGGGATATAACTTGCAAGCTTCTTGGGATAACTTAATGTCTTGTTCAGATGGTGCAAATACGATAATATTTATCCTGTTTGCAGTGTTGGAGCTGTATTGGTCCCAGGATCTGAAGAGATAAGATAGATATATATATATATATATATATAAAAATAATAACAAGGACCAACCTCTGTTGGTGGAAGGGACAGACTTTTGAGCTTCACAGAGCTCTTCCTTAGGCCTGGAAAAGGTGTCCAGAGTGTCCATGCTAGTTTGTCTAGCTTCAGATCCAAGCTAACATGGATACGCAGGAGAAGAGAAGGTAACCAGAAGAGCTCTGTGAAGCTCAAAAGCTTTTTCCCTTCCACCAACAGAAGTTGGTCCAATAAAAGATATTACCTCATCCACCTTGTCTCTCTCAATATTTATCCTGGTTAATTCAGACTCGTGGTATGATATAGCTAATATTTTTTAAAAATTAATGTCTGCACTTGCAGAATCAGCTTTCTCTTTTTCAACAGTAAAAATATTGCCCCACTAGTTAGCATGTATAAGACAAACAAGCCAAAAAATCTGGGATTTCTATTTCCATAAAAAGAAATGACTATGTAGAAATTACCTGAGCAGACTGTCGTTTTACAGTCCTTTTTTTATCGTGGATTAATTCCTGGTTTCAGTATCCGTTGTTTGCTTAGCATGTGAGCTGCTCTATCACTTCTGCTCAGTGATACTGATTTGTTCTGGTTTTAAACACTTTTATGCTTTTACATGGCTTTGGGAGAGAGTTTGCCAGGGACAGAGGAGCTGCTGATGAATATATATATTCTCTATAATTAAAGGATAATGTGCAGTAGAAAGAGAGAGCTTCAAGATACACTATCTCTGGAATGAAATGTCACTTTGTTCTCTTGTAAATTGTCTGAGTGATCTGCACTGTATCTTGTAACTAGGAAATTCGCTTTATCTGTCGGATCATAGGACACTTCCAATTCACTGACTAGAAGATACTGGGTCCAGTAACTACCAAGGTTTTATGTCAAAGTGCTGGTGTAATGTAGGCTTCTCAATGTGTGTAGGATGGATAACTGTGATAACTGCCCGTTGTTGAACCTTCATTATTGGTTCTATGCCCTCAGTTGCTTGACACCAACTATCTAAGGGTACGTCTATACTTACCTGCTGGTTCGGCGGCAAGCAATCGAACTTCTGGGTTCGATTTATCGCGTCTTGTCTGGATGCGATAAATCGATCCCGGAGGTGCTCGCCGTCGACTCCGGTACTCCTGCTCGGCGAGAGGAGTACGCGGAGTTGACGGGGGAGCCTGCCTGCCGCGTCTGGACCGCGGTAAGTTCGAACTAAGGTACGTCGACTTCAGCTACATTATTCACGTAGCTGAAGTTGCGTATCTTAGTTCAAATTGGGGGGTTAGTGTAGACCAGCCCTAAGCTTTTCAGTGGTAACAACTTGAGTTTCTTCTTCAATTCTTTTCCAGCACCATGGCTATCTGTAGCACATATGGACTTATTTGTTCTACCTTTGCATCAGTCTTAATTTTCTTCTCCATGAAGATCGCTTTTAGATTCTCTTTTAAGAAAGTCTCTCTCTTCTCTCACCTCCCCAGGCATTCACTTTCTAACTGTTGCGCATATTTATTTTTGGTCAGCCTTTTCAGTGTGTTCTTTTAGTTCCTTCAGCAAATAAATTTCAAAGGTTGACTACCACCTATGTTCAGCTACTTCTTCTATTTCCATGTTCTCTACTGTCTCCCCTCGGTTCTCTTAAAAGGTGAATTGAAAAAACCAAGAGTATCTTTGAGTACAAAACTACCTCCCACTTTCTTATATGTTAGAAATATCAGATGTTCATCTCTCTGTACTGTTCTTCCATATTCCCCTGTCATATGCTCACCTTACTTCAATTGAAAGCCAACACTTTACTTTAATCAGTCTCTTACTACCATATGGCTATTTAGAAGTGTGGGGGGTGGAAGGGAGTAGTATCTGCCTTCCAAAGGTAGTAAGAAGCACAGGCAAAGCTCTCTAATGAGCAGAAGTATCAGCTGACCAGTCTTAAATTGTACAGCTTCTGTAGGGGATCCCATTCTAACTATTCTGAAACTACCACAGTACCATATGCTAAACATGCCTTAGATAAAGGGCGATAATAGCATAACTTTCAAACTTTAGGATCCATTGGTTCATTACATGGTCTCCATTACTGGTTGGATTTTAAACAGCAAGTGTAGTGTAAATTATTTAAATAGGGACATAGGATTGGTAGTTTATAGCAAAGTAGAAACTGGATTTACTTTGTAGAGCAGCTCAGGCAGCCCCTGGGCCAGCTGCACTGGTTTTGCTGAGGCAGTCTTGGGCCACCGCACCCCCCCAGCAGCAGCAGGAGTTTGGGTGTGGGAGGAGGCTCAGGACAGGAGGTTGGGGTGCAGGAGGGGGTGAGGGCTCTGGGCGGCACTTACCTCAGGGAGGGGGGGCTCCCCGGAAGCGGCACCATCCCCCTCCCTCAGCTCCTAGCAGACAGCTCCCCGTGCTGCCTCCACCTGCAAGCACCGCCCGGTAGCTCCCATTGGCCATGGTTCCTGGCCAATGGGAGCTATGAAGCTGGCGCTTAGGGCAGCGGCATCATGCAGAGCCAGGTAGGGAGCCTTATAGTCCCATCAAACCTCTGCCCCAGCACCAGCAGGGGTCCCAGGCAACGTGCCACTGCCTGCCCCCTCAGTACCAACGGAGGTCCCAGGTTGCTCACCCGTGGCACCCCCCGGGTTGCCCCCCTCCCCAAGATTTAGTCAGTCAGGGCTGTATAATACAAGGTGGTGGAATCTCCTTCCTTAGAGGTTTTTAAAGCCTGGCTTGACAAAACCCTGGCTGGGATGATTTAGTTGGGGATTGGTCCTGCTTTGAGCAGGGGGTTGGACTAGATTACCTCCTGAGGTCCCTTCCAACCCTGACATTCTATGACAGGTCACAGGCCTGAATTTTTGTGTACTGTCTGTGACCTGTCCATGACTTTTACTAAAAATACCTGTGACTAAAACGTAGCCTTAATTATAGATAATCAAAGGATTTTTAAATCTCTTGCTAGACTGATGCTTTGCAGTTCAGTTGCAGAATGAAATAAAAGAACCTATGTACTGCAATCTGTAACAGAATTGGAAGTCCCTCCCAGAACAATACTCTCAGCTGGAAATTAACAGAGATTCTGCATCCATAACAAAGGTTTTCATAACTTAATTGATGATTACAATAAAAATAAATATCAAATCACTTTTTTTTTAATTTGTGACGTGAAGGATATACTGTGTGTAAGAACACATTGCATAACCCTAACCCACCATACTAACACTCTGTTTTGTTTTGCTCTGGAACATTCACTTTATCATATTGGCTTCTTAGCATTAAATCACAACTGTGAAGACATACCTCTTCTTATTGTTTACATTACATTGGGACATTAATCTGGTCCAAGGCCCATTATGCAGGGTGTTGAACAAACATATATGATTTTAATAAAACCCACAAACATGTCCCTTCTGCTCGCCCTCCCCCAGTAAAATTGACACACCTACCTTGCCTGTTGACCACGGATATTGCCAGGAACACGTAACCCCATGACTATCTCCACTCCCAAGATACCCTGTCTGTGAAATGGGATGCCTACTATCATCCCCTCTTGCATGCTGCGTGTATTACGAGGGTAGAAGGCAGAGAATAGAAAGGCTATTGGTTTGTATTTCTCATAGGAGACGAGATGTTCAGGGATTGGGAGATCGAGCCTGTGACTTCTGAGATGCATTCAGGCTGGTGACCACGTCAGCTGTGATAAGAGTTGCTGAGATTGTTGCCTCGATTTCATGGTAGAGAAGTCCGTTACAGGAAGGGCAGCCTTGATGGAAACTGAATTCTGCTTGTACCCGGAGGCTGGGTTGAGGCAAAAAGTAGCATAGCTTGTACTGCTCTTGCCCATACTGTGCCTATTCTATAGACCAGGGGAGGCCAAACTTACTGACCCTTCAAGCCGCATATGACCATCGTCAGATGTTCGAGAGCTGGGACACACCTGCTGGGGCTCCGGGCTTCAGCCCTGCGGGTGGCACCTGCTGGAGCTTGGGGCTTCAGCTTCTTTTGCTGCTGTCTTTCCCCAAGGAGCTAAAGCAGAGACCCCACCTCCTTGCAGCTCCCAGCTGTTAGCTCTGCAGGGAGAGGCAGCAGCAAACACCTGGGAGCTGCAGGAAGGGGCCACTGAGGGAAAGAGGGGGAGTGTGCCTGGGTGTGTGTGACTCAAGCTGTTGGGAGGTCTGAACCTTCAAATTGTGCACCCCTCCCCCCCCACTCTTACAGTCAGCAGTTGTCTCTGGCAGAAGCTCCTAGCCCCACCCTGCCGCAGGGCAGAAGCCCTGAGCACCCCTCCTCCCCCCGGTAGGCAGAGAATGGTGGGGTGTGGAAGGCTCCGGGAGCTGCACTTTAACTGCAAAAGAGCCGGGGTTTGGCCACCCCTGCTATAGACTGTCAACCTGATGCCTTGCACACAATGCTGGCAACTCCTAAAAATCTTCACCTTGGCCAGCAGGAGTGCTTCCACAACTCTGAAAATCGATATTTAGCTGGAGACCAGTGAGAGTAACCTGTTTCCTGATCTTAAGCAAAGCACTCAACTGTGTTACCATGAGGCTAAAGCAGAGTGCCTGTTGGCAGTATGTTCTTTGTTTTGAATGAGTGACATCTGTGTGACCTTTTTTTTTTTTTTTAAAGGGGCATCATCGCCAGATATGGAATCCACCTATGGGGGAGGCTTACTAGACATGGTGAAAGGAGGAGCAGGGCGACTCTTCAGCAACTTGAAGGATAACCTGAAGGACACCCTAAAAGATACCTCTTCAAAAGTTATGCAATCTGTTGCCAGGTATAGTACAACCAAAGCCTCTCAACGCAGGTAAAACAAATACTGTAGCTGCAGGATGTTAGTGGGAAGGAAACTACTTTGTTCTTAACTGGCATTGGACAAAGAACCTGGAAAAAGACCAGTTTATTTAGAAAGCTTTTCTTTTCTTTTCTTTGTTTGATGTGACCTTTATGAATGAGTCGGTCTTATAATTGGGTATATGGTTTAAATGAAGCTAAGACCACTAAAGCAGAATTTGTAACCTTGAGATGAGTGAATGTCCGAGATCCTGAACATCTGAATGGGCTTTTCCTATCCATTCTCTTCTCCAAGTCTCTTTACTACTCTTACCTCTATATCCCTTGTGCAATCCCACTTCTATCCTATGCAGACCGTTTTTTGTCTTTTTAAATACCGATTCTCCCAACTGACTGACCTCTGTTCCCTCACCCATCTGCTGCTCAACATGAGATGACAACCTCTCGCTAACATCTAACTTCTCCCTATTCAGCTCCCCTTATTGTTCCCATCCTTAAATCCATTCTTGACCGCTACCTTTTATGAGAATTCTGTTGACTTGTTGCATGCTGTTGGTCACTGCTGCTGACCGCACCTCAGCTATGCACTGTGCTCTGGTGCCGCCTTGTGGTGTACACTGTGTATTCTGGGATAACTCTGAGCTGGCAGAGCACTGCATAGTTCATGATCTTACGAGAGGCTTTCAGGTGTCTGTGGAAGTTACTGACTGTGCAGGTTGCTCAAAAATTTCCATTAGAAATTGAAGTCAAGGCAGATAGTGATAATGAAAAGTGGAGGATGCTCTTTTGAGAGAAAAGAAGGCAATGGGGTAAAGACAGTTGGGTATAAAAAGGTTGTTCAGTCCATTGTTGGAAAGCAACATTTTAAAACTCTACTTCTGTCTTGTTTAGACTTAACTTCCAGTGTACTAAGTAGTTTGTCTCATCTGTTATCCATACTTAATCTGAAGTGAGTCTTTGTGGAGAAACATTGTTGTCTTGTCTTCTGTATGTAGGTGTGTATGTTAACATGTGTCTTCCCTGCTTTCTTTCCTTTAGTTACACCAAGGGAGAGCTAGATATTTCTTATGTTACCTCAAGAATCATTGGTAAGTGTCAGTCACTTTTGTAAATGAAATGATGCTGTCTGTGGTAATCTGTGTTTATGAACCAACTTCTGAACCCTGTTGTGGTCCGTACTCACTCTTGTGTTTGGTCTCGACAGTTATGTCTTTTCCTGCTGAAGGGGTTGAACTGGGGTTCAGGAATCACATTGAAGATGTGCGGACGTTCTTAGATTCACGACATCCTGACCACTACACGGTCTTCAATTTGTCACAGAAGTCTTATCGTAGTGCCAAGTTTCATAACAGGGTAAGTGCTTTCTTTTGGGATACCAAAGCCCAGGATCACAAAAATTGCTTCTGAGACCTCTTGCTATCTGACCCAGAGTTCTTACAAAACAAAGGGGGCAGGTTCTCTCAGTTCAGGGAGAAGGGGGACCAAAGGTGGCTTTAAATGCCCATTACGCTCCCTGGATTCTGGCCTACTGCAGGGCCTCAAACAGCCGCTGGCATAAGTTAAAGCAGCCCTTGAGGGCTCAGTGCTATGGCATGTACCTGCACCGGAGCTTGCAATGGGAGGGACTGTAGGGCTCCTTAGGTTGCCGCTATGCCACCTGTGGCTCCTGTACAGCTACTAGAAACTGCTGCAGAGGAGTGAGGAATAAGCACTTATTCTTTTAGAAAAATTTCTGAAAGATTTCAGTCTATAAAACTTAGCGTTAATATACTGACTGAGTTGCACAACTCTTTAAAATTGTAGCGTGTATGAATGAAAGTAGCTGCCATCTGCATGACTGCGTAATAGCATAATGCTCTGATGCTAATTTTGTTAAAGGCCTGAAAAGCAGAGGGTAGTTGTGATGGGTTAGACACCCCCCTCCCCACACACACACACACACACACACACACACACACACACACACACACACACACACACACACACACACACACACACACACCCTTCTTAGATGCCACCTGATGTACTCGGGTTTCACTGAGCCCCTCCTGCTCCACCAGCCTGGATTCCCTTCCCTGTTTTGCTGAATTAGGCTCTCCGGCCTCTTGCAGCACACACACACAGGTAGGGCCACGCCCAGCTGCAGATACAGACTGAAGTCAGCTCTGTGTGAGAGGACTCACCCAGCACTCACGTGCACACCCCCCTTTGGGGAATAAACCCAAAATAATACTGTCTTGCGCTGTATAGAAAGATTTGCACAGTGCAAGCTCATAAAAATTGGCCCTCTTCCTCAATGTGAAGAGAGATGCACAACTTCTTGCCCTCTCCCTCTTCTCCCCACCCCGTTAGAAATTGCACAAACTGGTTTTAATAATAAACAAAACAAATGTATTAACAATAAAAGGCAGATTTTAAGTGATAATAGGGGATAGCAAACAGAACAAAACAGATTTTGAGCAAATAAAACAAAACATGCATATTAAGCTTAAGATCTTAGAGATTAATTTCAAGAAGTAATTTCTCACCTTAAATGTTGTTGTAGGCAAGTTGCAGTGTTTCTGTAGCTTAGAGTTCCAGTTATTTCTTCTTACAGACTGGATCCCTGTCTCAGTCTGAACTCACCCCTGCCTTTCCTCTCAGGTTGGTTCCTTTGTCCCTTCAGGTACTTTCAGCGTCTTTCTTCTTGGGTAGACCATGGAGGAGAGTCTAGATCAAACCCCTCCTCCCCCAGCCTTAAAAAGGACTTACCTAAGGCAGGAAACCTTTGTTTGATCCCTGTACGAGGAAAAGTATCAGTGGTGTCCAAGGTGGTATTTTGTATCAGGTGATCTTATCACCTGACCTGGTAGTGTCACAGCTACATCTCAGGAAGGCGAGAGATTAGTATCTTCACAGTCTTGTTGTTTCTTCCTAATGGCCCATCAAGGCTGTGATGGCGGGTTGTCTGGTGGGTCTCACACACACACACACACACACACACACACACACACACACACACACAC